ATTTTAAATCTGTTCAGTGTGTGCCTGTTTTCGAAGGAAAGTTTAGAAAAAAAAGTAGTTACTTTGAAGAAATGGCGTTTATCAAAGTAGAGCTTTTTTTAAATTGAAAAAAAAATTAGTTAAGATAATAAACTGAAAAGAAGACTAGAAAAGCGGTCATGAGTACCTATAAAGGCCTTAGCTGGAAAGTAAATATAGCACATTGGCCCCAAACCTTAAGCTTGGCTTGTGTAGATTGTACAAAAAATCTATAAAAATCAATTATTAAATTTTAAAAATTGTTTTAATACATAAGCCTAGCTCATAGTTCATAATACTTGCTGTTGACTCGTAAAAAAAACCGAGTATAAACCACAAAATATCGATAACATCGATTATTAAGGTAATCGAAATATACCGATAATTTCTCGATTTTAAAATAGTTATGGTGCTGTAGAGTAAACAGAATACAAACTATAAAAAATCGATAACATAGATTTTTGAAACTATCAAATTATATCGATTTAAAAATAGTTCTGATGCATATATGGTAAATTATGTACAGCAAAGCGATATTCAGTATAAAGGCAACGCTGCAGAGAACTATAGTTCATTAAAAAAAATGTTGTGTACAGTAGATAACACAAAACTTCAAATGATAATATCAGTGGTAATTATCAATTAATTGTAGTCTCAATGCATATACTCTTTTAAATAACTAACACTACAAAAATATAGTACACAAAATTATCAAAAATCGATTGCAAAAATGTATCAATATATATCCACAATTATTATCGATTTTTAATTCCTACAATACAATCTCTTAAATATTAAATAACTAATTTCGTCTCTCTTTTTCCATGCTGCACACACAGATGGACTTGGCGACCGTACCGCCGGAGCTTGAGGAGCTCCTTATCTGCAGCTGTTGCCATTTACCCTTCAACGATAACGATGCGCTGCCCAAGCTTCTCACGTGTCGCCACTATTTCTGCCTCAAATGTGTCAATTCGTTGCTGCGCGAAGGCAGCGATGAACTCTACTGTGTACACTGCTGGAAGCGTACCGAACTACAGGGACCCGAGCCACGTACGGACAGTTTACCCACCTACAATGCGATTTTATATCTCACACAGAATTTGACTGCGCTTAGTTTAAAAATGAAATGCGGTGAACGTGATCGTCAGCAGCGTTCGTCGTCGATTGCATCGAATGGCTCCACCGGTGCGCTTAGCGGGAGTGGCGTAATTAATAATAGTGTCAATAACAACAACAATAACAGTAACAATAGCGATGGCAGCAACGGTAATCTAAGTAGTATTGGCGTTGGCAACAACAATACGAACAACAATTTGGATAAATTAAAAATGACCGAAAATTGCATGACCCATGCCATGCCGAACACATTGTGGTGTAGCGCGTGCAATATCTTGCTTTGTCGCGCCTGTGCCGCCACTGAAGAGCATCGCACGCATTTGGTGAAGAACAAAATCGAAGCCAAGGAATCGCTACACTCGGACATATCAAAAGAGTTGCTTGGCATGCAGAAGACGCTGAACGATGTACAACATTTGGTATTAAAGCAGCGTGATTTTCTGCTCAAAATATTGGAGAGCTGTACCACGCTCAAGACCCAAATCGAAGCGGAGCTGCTGAATCATATGCCCACTTTGGAGATTTCTGAAATACGTGAAAATTTATGTAAGGCGCGGCTCTGCCTCGAAATACTTGACAAACAGACACCAGCTGAGGCTCTAAAGCTCTATGCCACATTGCATGCCGAGAAGCAGCGGCTAATTGCCAAGTATCAGGAGATGTTCCTGCAATGTAAATTGGACGATATGATACGCAATTGTGGCTATGTCTTTGATTTCGATCTTATCAAGCAAGCGCTTGTGCAAATGCATAATTGTGTGCTCAATGGCGGCAATTTGGATAATTTCGGTGTGGGTTCGGTAATTGGTGGCCTCAATGGCATAACGACGGCTGCCCATCAGAACCCGGTTCTGCTTCTGGCCAATTATTGCATTTCGCAATTATATTCGCGTCATATGTTGTTGTTGAAGCAACAGCAGCAACAGCAGCAGCAACAACAACAACAACAACAACAGCAACAGCAACATCAACAGCAACAACAGCATTTGTTGTCGAACGGTTTGCTCACCTCGATGATATCACATGTGAGTCTTTCCACAACTATTAACGGTAATTTGCCCACATCGAACGCCAGTTTCACACATGCAACCTATGCGCAGGCCCTGCAACAGAATCAACCGTCGAATAATAGCGTTGCACAACAACAACAAGCTAACAATCCAACTTCGCCCGTACACAAGACTTACGCCGACATCATTTCGCTCTCTAGCAAATCTAACGCGAGCTTACAAGCCGCCCAACAGCAGCAACAGCTGTTGCAACAACAACAATCAGCAAGCGGTAATTTCGCCAATATCGCACCAATTGGCACACCGGCAACGACATCAAATACATCAGTGGTGGTTGGCGCACAACGCAACAACACCTCACATCTCTTTTCCAGCACCGATCTCAACGGTTTAGGTCTAAGCTTACTGCATCTGCAACAACAACAACAACAACAACAACAGCAGCAGCAGAATGCTACGAATACACAACAACAAACGAAATCAACATTGCTACTTAACCCCAGCGTACACGTCTATCCAATCTATTATTTTAACATCGAAATCAATGGGCAACACTCCGGGCGCATCCTAATAGAGGTGCGTAGCGATGTTGCGCCGAAAATGGCGAAGAATTTCAATGCACTCGCCACTCAAGAGCTCGGCTATGGTTATAAGGGTTGTCACATTTTCCAGTGTTGGGAAAACGAGAGTATTATTACGGGCGATTTTGAATTGAATAATGGGCGTGGCGGACGCTCGGTATACGATGAGGGCTTCTTTATGCCCGACGATACAAAAATACTAGCCATACGCGGTTCGGTTGGCATGCGACGCAGTCAAAAGCGTCACGATAATTTAGGTCTCGTTGGTTCACAGTTCCGTATAATTTTAAGAGAAATGCGCGGTTTTACAGGCATATTTGCATTTGTGATCGAGGGTTTGGATTTAGTAGAGAAAATATCACAAACCGGCGATGCGACTGGTAAGCCACAGAGCAGTGTTGTCGTGGTAAGTTGTGGCAAATATCAGTTGGGTTAGGTGCAATCAGCAAGGTCGATAGTAGTGGTTAGGGTATAAGGAAGCGAATAGTTTGAAGGATACGAACTTTTTGATAAGCGTATGTTAAGAGGTTATTTAAAAATATCCTGAGTTTAGATTTCCTATACCATACTTATATAAAACATCTTTTAAGATAGTAGTTGTATTGTAGACTATGAGCGTGCGAGCGTGATGGCACTATTATAATATGTAGCATATATTTAAAGAAAGTAGTAAAGGCGAGTGAACATCGGATATCTTATTTACTTAAAAACAAAAAAAAACCGTTATATAGAGTGCAAGCAGTTTTCGAAAACATTGCTTTTTTTAACGTATAAATATAATTTAATTATACTCTTACGATGGGGTGATAGCGGATGTGACGTTCGTTAAATTATATAAAAATATTTTGAAAACAAATATTGGCATAATTGGCGTATTCTAAAATATACATTATTGGTTAAGGGGCTATAACACTTATTCTCTCAAAAATAACGGTTTTTTTTTGAAGACCTCAAATTCAGTTTCTTACTCCCAAAACAAACTTACGTTTTAAACGCAAAAAAATTAGATTGATAGGTCACATAGCAATAAAATATGTTTGTATTTTTTGACCAACACAAGTGTATAAAACCGTAAACAATTAGGAAAATTTTTAAAATACAGTTTTTCACCAGCATATAGTGATAATTTTTAATAGTTCATAAATGCTGTAGGATTCAGAAAATTTACCATGGAACTATAAAAATATGATAAAATATATATATATATATATATTTTTTTTTTTATTTAATTAAACTCTTAAATGATATTTTCCTCACATTACGCATGAAGCCACATTTAAACAAATAATTTTATTTTTCAATTTGAAATTAAATTTGAATTGAGCTCAATTTACTGTTTACGAAATAATATAATATAACAGTTCTAAAATCGCATCACTCAATAATCAATTGACTCAGATATTAAAAAAGTAAAGTCTGTAATTTTTTTAAACAGTAACTTAATTAAAAACATAATTAGTTTAATTTATTGCCATAGTAATTGAGCTTAATTCGTTTAAGGTATCTTAATAAAACATTTAAGTTTTATCATAAAATATTCAATAAACATTGATCGCAAAATGTTACATTGACTAACCAAATAATACACTTTGCCAAATAAAATGTTAATTGAGCTCAATTTGATATAATAGATACTTTAATTGAACAATTAAGTTTCATCACTAAATAGCCAAACTTTCACATTAACTTATAAATTTCGCACTCTCTACCAAATAAAATGTTAATTGAGCCTTAAAATGTTAATTTGAGAAACCAAGAAGACTTAATTGCGCAATTAATGTTTGATTGTTTCTAAATTATTCTATTGAAGCAGTGACCAATTTAAAACCATAATTTTTTCAATTTATTCAATATACAAGTATTGTTGCATGAATTTACTATGGCAAATATCGAAAGCTGAGATTTAATTGAGTTAGAATAATATAATAATTGAGTTAGTATATGTTAATAGCGATGATTAGGTGCTGGTGAAGAACTATAACCGATGATTTTGAATTGAGTGTTTGATCGAACAAATTTACGCCAAGCCAAACCCTTGTTTCCTTATTTAATTAGATTAATAAAATTCTATATTTTTGCAATTTTTAAAAATAATTTAAAATTTATAATTTTTTCTGAAATCGTTGGAGGTTTAACAATTAATTTTATAGTCACTATATCCACCTGAATATACATATAATCGAGTATAATTTGTCTATGAATATATAAAAACAAATGAATTAAAAATCGAAAGCTACATTTCAAACACCACATTCCTTTCGTCACAAAAAGCTCGAAAACGAAACAAAACCAATAAATATTATAAGGCTTCAGTAAAATATTGAATAGTGAAAAGGCAAAAGGCAAAAGTCCAAATTAATCGTATGTGTGTGTGTGTACAATTTAAGCTAGTGTTAAACGTCCGCTTAACAGAATGTTAAAAACTGTAAAATGCCGTTATTGATGGCTAGAAAACAAACACACACAATTTTGAACTCGAAAATTGTTGCTGTACTTTTCTTTTCTAAGGCATTCGTTGAAACAGTATTGCACAAATAAAAAAATGTATAGCGAAAAATTTTCACTAAATATTTAACAAACACTTTGTGGTAATTAGACGATATGAATTGACTAATTAATTTAATACCGTGACATACAGCAAACAAAGAACAAAGTGTAAACGTCTAGGGAATTTCTACTCATGGAGTAGTAAGCGTCATTTTAGCACTTTTGTAGAGCGACAAAGCAAAAACCAAAGCAAAAAGAAAAACAAAAACCAAATAACGAACAAAACTTAACGATGAATAGTTTAAATTTACGGAGAATCCACGAAAACTTAGCTACATAAATACATATACTTATAGGTTGCATGTAAAACGGTTAACGGAACCGGAAATGAAGAATATTATTACAAGTATATATAAATTGAGCCAACAACGCAATAAAACATAAATGTGAAAATATATACGAAGAACTATGTAGTTGTTTACATATACAGAAATAAATATATATACGTATATATAAATATGTATACCTATACATATGTATATAGATTATCTCGATGTGTAGCTTTGAAGTATTAATATTAAAAACAAATACAAACAAACATACAAGAACATATAATATATCGCAGTATATAAATATAAATATATGTTAAGCATAATCAAAAACATACATATACACATATTAAAGGTTAAACTTAAATGTCCAAAAATTAAAAGAATGAAACGCAAAAAAATAAAAATAAAAAATTATTAAATGTGAAATTAAATATTCAAGAATATTATAGTAAACTATCCAGTATTACACGATTAATTCCACGATTACGTTTAGAGAGCATGCAAAACAATGCAGAACTTTAGCTACAAAAGCATACTGACAAATATACCAAAAAAATAGTTAAAGGGTATATATTTACTTAAATGTAACAAAATTAAAAAAAAAGAACAAAGAAAACACAAACAATGTTTCATATTGATATTGATAAATACATTTGTCTAAAACATTTGTGTTTTAAAGCGCTACAAGTGTACCTGTCTTCAAAACGTTATATTAAAAGTCTAGCGAAGAAAGAAAAAAAATGTCGAAGTACTATAAACCAAAACAAAACAAATTATATATGTAGAGCAAAACCAATGTGTAAAAGAAGCCTGATCAAAGAATCCCCTTCAACATTTTGACTATACGAGATTTCATACTTAAACTATATTCTAACTTTACTATCTAATTAATTTTTGTACACTACGGTTTTTTGTGCTAACAACTTTTACGAAAAAAGTAGGATATGAAACAAAACAAACAAAATATGTACCTACAAAAAACAAGTAGAAAAAAGTATAAACAATTTAGATTCGATGCACACGTTTATGAATAAATAAAAAAAAAAGAAACTCCCAGCGATTTTCAAAATCATAATTTTACGAAATACAAAATTTTAGCATTTGGTGAAAATATAATAAACAAACATACAAACAATACAAAAAGAATACAATACATACAACAAAAACATAACTACACTAAACATGCATACCTATAAATACATATATACACATAAACACCCCCGTTAGGACTAAAACGTCTATCGTTATAGTTATCGAAAATAATCGAACACAAATTTTACAAAACTAATTTTAAATTATTTGATGTTCTATATTGTTTAATTTACATAAAACTCACAGCAGCAATAATTTTCCCGACTTCAAAAAAACTATTATAATAACTTTATTTCTTATAAAAAAAATCGCGATTAATTAAAATTATCGTTGCGATAAATAAAAATAATGTTAAATGGTTTGCAAACATTTACGAAGTGAATTAAAGCGTTGAAAATGTATGCTGTTGGCCACCAAGATAAAATACAATAGATTTTCAGTAATGGATTATTGATAATTTTTAATAACAACAAACTCATTTTACTCATTCACAAGTAATTGAATTTTAAATATTGTAAATTTTTTTGGAATCTGTCCAACATTTTCCTACGATTTTAAGGTTAATGCTAATATAAAATTTCACTAGAATATTTTGCGCTAATTATCAAAAATATTTAATTAATTTTAAATTTTTTTGTTTTTAATTATTAAATTTGTGGTCAAACAGTTGAAAAAATGGACAGTTGAAAAGAGAGACGAACAATCACACGTACACAAAAGTTTCGTTAATAATTGTCAATTGGTCCTTAAAAAACTCGTAGAAACTTTAACAGAAATCGCTGATAGCGCTATTAGATATATAACCGGATACTTAACCGATAGTTTACACACGTCATTAAGAAACTCATAAAAACTTTAACTTTTAGGCCAAAGTGAAATATAGAGTTATTTAACGGACTTCGTGTGACTTGATCCAAACCCTTTATAACTTTGACTTAATTTTCGAGCAATTTAACCAAATATTGTTGTTAATAAGAAAGACAACACTGTCAGCCGTTCTTGCCGGCGCAAATGATTTTACTGACAATAGACTACAACGAAGAAAATTTCAGAGACTATTAAAAATGTCGCCGTATCATTGAATTTAAGTACACTAATTTGCGTTGGGTTTTGAAAATTTAAAATTTTTCTGCTGTGAGTTTTCGAACACAATTTAAAATATTTTTTAACTCATTAAATCGAAATAAGTATGGGCTGTAGACGGTTAATTACAGCAAAGAACATTTTTTTTATTATATTATTTTTTCTTTTTTGTTTTTTGTAATTTTAATCTTAACTTGAAACGTTGGTTAGAAATTAGTAGTATGTATATAAGTTAAACTACCTACTATAAAAAATGTACAACTTGGAATGAAACAGAGAATACAATTGACTCAGAACTGCGAGCGATAATCTTTTTATAAAGTTATGGCATGATTATAGATGAAGCATTTTTAAAAGCAAACACGTAAAAATAAACTTAACTTAAACTTAAACGCTGCAAAGGAGCAGTACTATAAATGTATATGATAGGTTTCTAAATGTACTTAATTAAATGTGGAATTATTATTTGTATCTAATTCTTTTCCTCTTAAATGCTCAAAAATTTAATCAACGAAATTAGCTGCCAATAAAATATGAACGAATTTCAAGGCTTTTTAGAAAACTTATTACAATTACGGCACATTTAAGCACTTAAGTTTTTTTAACCCATTTTTTTTCTCTTTGGTATTTTTTGTTTTATATTTATTAAGAAAACAAACTCTTTGGCATTTTAAGCAGTATTCATATATGAACTCGTGCGTTAAAATGCAGATTTCGTACATTAAAAACGTATTTTAATTACAACTGATGCATAATCTATTGACATATCCATAATTACAAAGAATTTGAGTTAACAAAAGAGAGAGTTAAACACCTTGCGACACGTACTAAGAACTTCGCTAGAAGAACAGAAATAACTTAAACTATTCACGAATATATAATTGATATTCCCTTAATGAAGTAAAGCAACAAATTGAACGTTTAAAATTAGAGAAGCGAGAAAACTTAAATTATATGCGCTTAGATTGAATTACTTTCGAAATTTACACAAGTAATTTTTAATACACAGAAAAGTGTGTGAACTTAAAATATGTATTTATCAAACGAAATTATTATTAAATTGAATTATTAATTTAAACGACTTGAAATGAAGTAGATATCAAGAGAATAGTGGAAATTATAGACAATTACAACAAAAGATTACAAGTAAAAATTGTATGTATGTATTCGTAACGATTTGACTTAGCAAAAAGCAAAAACATAAAAAACAAACAATGAATAAAAAAAAATATTAATAAATGGAAAAGAATGTATAAACAGCAAAGAAAAATTACGCTTTAAATGTTGTGTGATTACATTTTAAGACAATTAACTAATTAATTGCATAATTTTACGCAATACGTCGTTTCAAATAACTAAAAAAAGCTAAAAATTCAATTAAATCAAATACAAATGCTATTTATTAACTCTATGTATTTAGGGAGCATATAATTTTTTTCATATGTAGTAGCCGATTTGTTTTTTACTTAGCCATAAGGTGACAAAAATCGTGTGAAATCGAAAAAGGTGCTTATGCGCATTTGTGAAAGGTTGGTGGAAATGATAAGTTGGTGAAAATATTTTCAAAAACTTATTTATACTTTCTTCTATTTAAATATTGTACAACAGTTTCTATGTCTCTTTCTAGCATTATCTAGAACTCGTCTTAAATGTCTAAAAGCTTCGTAGTTCAAGTCGCTTTTCAAGTCCGTAAAGCGCGTTGACGTCCTATATGACGAATACTTCAGCTCAAATTAAACTGAAGCTCCATCTGGCATTACAAAGGACCAGTAGGTCTATGGATAGTGTCATAGTCGGCCAGTATAACCTAACCTAGCCTATTTAAATACAAAATTTTACTCAATGCAGCATTGCTCGCTTAATTCTACATATTTTTTTGCCATAAATCGAGGAGATAGATAACTCGTTTTAATTTTTTTGAAAAGTACGTTTGATGAATCAAAATTTTTAGCAAATAGATTGTTAAACAATTTACATTTTATATTTACTATCAACTGGAGAAAGGTGAAGTTATGCCCAGGGTTCGAATTTTTAATTCATAAATTTTGGACTAAAAATTAAATTTTCAACAACTTATAGAAAATCTAATTTTTAATCCGAAATTTAAAATTTTTTAATTCCGATCTAGGGATTAGGATTAGATTTTTAATTTTTATTTCAGCACGTTTGGGATTAAAAATTAATAAATAAAATTTTTATTGTTCACTATTTCATTTGATAGAAAAAATTTTTAATTTATTTTTTTAATTTAATGGTAACAATTTTAAATTTATTTTTTTAATTTAATGGTAAAAATTTTTAATTTATTTTTTTAGCTCACAATCAGAATTAGAACTGATAAAATATAAGTCGTTTAAATGTGTAAGTTTGCCGACCAGTGCTCTAGAGTATTGAAGATGTTGGCTCTGTGTGAGCTCTAGTTTAAGACGTTAGATGAGTTTAACGAGTTCAAGAAATCGATTTTTATTATTATATTTTTTAATTCTATAACATCTATAGAACATTCTTCTAAATGCTCTTGCTTTTCTTAGTCAGAAAAAAATGCGTATACGTTCTGTTTGCTTGGACCAGATGTTCATTTCGATGAGTTTTACCTTTGAAAATAACATACTAAAATGTTAAATCGGTAGCTGAAATAGTTTTTGAGTCACAGTCTTTTATGGTTTAGCAGTTTAGCTTATCTCTATCTAACGCGTTTTTTCTCAAATTTTCGATTTATCGGAGACAAATGATCCGAACTTTCGTTGTTCTGCATATAGCTCTACATACGAATATCTACCAGTCCTTTGCAGACTTTTATTTTGGGAAAAATTCAACTTTTTTTAAATTGTTGGCGTTTCGACAATTTTTTATTATTATAGCCGTTGGACATTTTACGGACAATATCTTCTTAAAGTAAAACTCGGATTTGTCATTCAGAAAGATGAGTGATGCTGTGAGGTGATTATTTTTGCGAATTCGATGATTCGTTTCA